CTCTTCATAATAAGCGCCCTCCAGCTTCTTAGAGTGTGTGTATTTTGAAAAGCGTCCCTGTTCTCTAAGGAGCCATCGACCTTCACCAAAAAGCGCCTTTATTCTATCACTTGAAAGTGTCGACTGTTATTTTCATATGAAGGAACATGTAATTTGTTATAATGAAAGATCTCGATCTCCTTCCATTTACAGATTCAGATTTCTATTTTAAGGAAGATTGAAGCGTTCCGTCACAAATAAGCGCGCTTTCTCGAACAAACTCCCCTTTAGCTTCATGATAAAATAGATCCCTCACCCCACCCAGTGCTAAATCGAATCATTACGATATTCACACTTAAGAGAGTTTAGTTTTGCTCAAGTCTCACATAAGATTATCAACTCGAAATTCTCCTTGCCTCCCTAATGGTGTTCTTTCAAGTTATTGTTGATAGTACTAAAATAAAACAGAACATAAGTCTACTATTTTGGTTAATTACGACGAATTTCGTTATTTGTATATTTGTACCGAGGCTCTTAAAATTTTGCCAAGGTGTTGATGTAACTTCAGTTGATTAAATAAATGGGATATTTTTGGCTCTAACATGTACTTTGTGGTCTTGTATTGGTTTAAACGCATACGGGTTGTTACTGTTACGATCGACGGTCGTGGCAAAATTAGGACCACAGAGGTTCACATACAAGGAATGCTAACCTGAACGCTATTCAGGCAAACCTGAGTGATGAACTAACCAGTGCGCTATTTAGGCCTAAAAGTAGTCTGCAGCCTATAAATGCCGTGCACCTCATATCAAATGCTTACTCGAGGCCATGGTTAGTGCGCTCGTCTCCGGATCGAGCGGTCCGGGTTCGAACCCTTTCCGGGGACATTGTGTTGTGTTCTTGGGCAAAACACTTTACTCTCACAATGCCTCCTTCCACCCAGATATGTAAATGGGCACCGGCGAACTTAATGCTGTGAGTAACGCTACGATGGTCTAACTAGGGAGGAGTAGAAATACTCCTAGTAGCTCCATGCTACAGAAACCGGGATAAGTTCCGGCCTGATGAGCCACTTGGCTCGTATACAGACTTTACTTTTTTATGGGCGAGGTTTACACCTCTTTTCTCTGTAGCTAATTGTCCTTGTGTTTCAATCTTGTGATGAGCATTTTTCTGCTTTGAATGATAATTCATCAGTGATGCACAATCTAGTTTGCATTTTTACTTTTCATATTTGTGAGTGTTAGGTTATTGGCGTTCTTCACTCCAAAGGTTTACTTGTTATTTTTATGTTTAATTTTCCAAAATACTGAAAAGCAAACATCCCTTTAATTAGCTTCCATTTCGTCGGAATGGTCAAAAACAGACTTTAAAGCTAGCTAGAACCACATGAATTGGCTTGAAGTTTTGACTAAGGAATTCGACCGACTAATCACAAATGAGTTTGAATTATAGTCTTAAATGCCAGCAGGTTGCACAACCTGTATAAAACAAGAATTTTGAAGGCATTTTCTACCTGCCATAAATATGGTAACTGATGGCGTCTTGTTAACAGTTTTGACAATGGTATTGTTTGCCGAGGCTAAACATGGCTTTTATTAGTGTTTTA